GGTGAGTCATCTGATCTCTCAAGCAGGAACACTGGTAAACTCCAGAAGGCAGGAGCCAGACAATATGCACTGAGGAAAAAGAGGGTCACTGAAGTGGGGAATGGGCCCCATGCTCTCAATGGAAGTCATATGGTGAAACAAGGCCTTGACCTGTCTTTGCTGATGACACAACAGGTAGAGAAAAGAAGTAGAAGAGGCAAGCAGCTCCTCACAAGGCCCCAGAAATAATCCCCTGAGGACTCTTGATTGACCTTTAAAACATAGGTTAATTTTGATCAACACAGGTCTTATTTTGACTTGGTCTTAAATATACAGCAAAATAAAGATTCTAATGGAAATATTAAAAGGGATAGGTAGTCTGGATCTAAAAGGGGGCTTCAAACATGACACCAGCTACTGGCCATCTCTAGTAACACCTGCAACATCTTAACCTACAGCCATGTGAGGTCCAGATTCCAGTTCTACTACCTCTTCCAAAACTGTGTCCTTTAGCCTGTGTTCCTACATTACTGTTAAGATACTTTGATGTACATTCAAGTATCCCTCTGATGAGGATATTTTTCTTGTACAGGCTGCCCATAAGATGAAAATGACAATGTTTATATTGTCTTTTTAAGCAAAACCTTTATTGGTACACTTTAGGTACACATAATGATAAAATTCATTATAGGAAATTTATACCTTTAAAATAAATATTCTAACTACTGAACATTATTATTTTTTGAAATAAACTAACTTGCTGTTGTCTACTTCTAGGTTTATCTATTTATGTTATCTAAAGTCAGTCACTACAAAGGTATTCATGCCTACAAAGTAGAGGTCGCATTCCAACTTCTGAGACCTACATTGGTAGTTTTAATGACCCGATGTGTATCAAAACGTGGAATTGCTTTACATATTCAATTCCCCGGAAACTATTCTAATTAGAATGACAAGATATTCTATCTTTGTTGACAGAATAGGGAAAATTCTATATCATCTTAAAATGCACCTGTTCATTAAGTAAACACTTGAGCATAATGAAAATTAATAATTAAAAAAGGCTTTTACCAATACTGCTCAATATTATCTAATTTCTACCATTTTGGGGAGCCACTACTCACCATATTCTACTTTTCATTTTTTGTCACTCAGGCTTTCCCAGGTCAACCTGATCCTCACGTGTGCTATTTTCAAAACAATAGGTTATGTATATATTCCTGGCAACTCTAAATTTCAACTTCTACTTTACAAGACTGACATTCACAACTTAAGTTAATGTCCATCTCTCCCTAAGCTTCAATGACTTGCTGATTTTCAAACAATAAAGTAAGTATCAAAGCATGATGGAGCTTTAAACAACAACACCACTGGGATTAAAAGGAGAGTACCACTGCACTTGGCTGGTCCCAAGTATTTGGGACAAGGGATACTCTGCCTGTACTGAAACTCAGGATTTCTTAGTAATAATCAAATTGGAAAAGAACTAATTTTAATACAAACAAAACAAATACTACAATGGTAATGCTATTTTTATCCCATGAAAAGGTACATATTAAAATGATTTGAAAACTTTACAGTAAATGCTTTAGTCACGTTTCACTGGTTTATATGTACTTCTGAAATAAATTCAATCTTTAAACAACAACACCAGATCTTCCTATGCTTCCTTTACATAAGGCAGGATAAGACTTTCAATTTCTGGCTAGAAAGGCCCAACAACAACTCTAACCCTAAAGTAGCCATAAGAAGAGGCACATTCCTTAAAAATAAAAGATCAAACTCTCAGGAAGAAAATAAAGTAGTACAAAAACAGAAAACCTGGTAAAATGGAGAAAAGAATAATCATAGTTTTAAAATAGTGTTTATTTTAAAGAAAAGCCACAGGCTAAGGACACACAAATAACAGAAAGGTTCAATGTCTTTTTCCATTCTGAAAACTCCCCAAGGGTCTTAAAGGCACAATACTTCTGAAAACTGGGGTCCACACATTTTACCTGTAAATTTCTCTTCAACACACAGACCTCCATCCTCAATGAAGTGACACAACTGACAGCCTGGTTTATCTCTAAATTCCAAACACATGCAAATGGTTGAAATCCTAGTCTAGCCCACCAAAGAGCCTGACTGACAGGAAGAATACACATCCGAGATCACCCTCTTAAAAATACCACAAGAACAAATACAAAGTTCCAACCCCTGACCATATTGTGCCTCTGTCTTGAGTAATCAGATTATGTGTTTCCTGAGTGTGTAGTGTAAAACTTCTGTCCAATAAACTTTTTTTGCCCTTCTCTTATGCATCTTGAAAAATATTTTTTTGTCATACCAGTCAGAAACATATAACTTCCTCTATAAATGGTGTGAGTTAAGATTGCAACTTCCAAGGAGGTGATCTGTGCAGGGGCCAGAAGCACCTCCCCCCCCCGCCCCCCCAGTCAAAATGAGAAAACACATACATAAGTCTCAAAACCAGACTTCCAGATCACGTACAGCAACCCAAACTTGAAATGAGATGGAACACTCTGATACTCAACCACCTGGACCCACTGAACTGGCAACAAAAAGGGACCTGGAAAAAATGAAATCAGAAATAATTTCTCAGATAACAGGAGAAATTGTGCTCCTAGTGCAAGACATGATTAA